TTGTTCTTGTTTTAAGATGAAACTCACTTCTGATTTTGTGTGCGGTTAAAACAAGAAGTAATATCTGCCAATGGAGTCAAAAAAATGATGTTGTTTTCTCTTTGAATACAGTTGATGTTTCTGACTCCATTGGCAGATATTCTTGTTGTAAGCACACACACACACAAAAAAAAAATGTGTTCCCTGTAAACAAGACTTAATATCCTCGATCATTTTGCTTCTTCTCCAGTAAATGAATCTTGATTTAAGAATGTTTAGATATTTGTGCTGGAAAACAAGAGCATCATCATTATTTGCAGTGCGTAACACAAAGTATGAAACTATGATTCATCTGGAGATTCATCTCGAAACGGTTTCTAAACCCCCTAAAAAAAACCATCAGAGTAAAGGACAAACAATCTGTTCTGATGTCAAAGCCAAACATTCACAAGGGACTTGAGCAAAACCCAAGCCGGATTGTGAAGCTTCTGAAGGATTTCGACTTGCACAACATCTAAGGACACGAACTTTCTCCCAATTACTTTTAATAGGAATGAGTTAATGTTGGATGGCTCTCCTGAGGGTTTGCGGAGCTTCCTAACCGGATCAGGAAGGAACATGTTTTCTGTCAAGGCCTTCGCGTTCGCTACGACTGCGAATCCCGTGAATCGAAGGGGAAGGGTCTTCCCTGTTCCTCGAGGTGGACCGGAAAGGGGGGAGAGTTTAGTATCGGTCACTTCATCTACTGGGAAGCTTGTTCCCAAAGACCTTCAGAGCTCCTGACACAGGGAGTTATAGTCTCTGATAGCAAACGCATCTCAGGAAACCTTCTGGACTTCACCCTGAGTTCTGCGCTTCATATCGCACTCGTTTATGGACATGTTCACATTGCATCACAGTTGTAATTAAAGAGCAGAAGATAAGCCTGTAAACTCACATTCATGACACACGAGCAGAGCGGATCTCGGTGTGAAGAGCTCACAAAACCACAAAACCAACATCCACTGCAGTCCGAAGGTGCAAAGTGTGCAAAAACTCCTTCCAATTTCATTTGATCGATGCAATTAAAACAGGACTGTTGTTTCTGCTCGCCATCTATGATGAGAATATCTCTCATTTGCTTTAAGATAACACTCTAAAGAATGCTGGGTTGTTTAAACCCAATTTCCCGGTCAAATATGGACAAACCCAAACGTTGGGTTACATTTTTAAATTGCATTTTTAATCCAACGTTCGGGTTTGTCCATATTTGACCGGAAATTGGGTTTAAACAACCCAGCATTCCTTAGAGTGGGAAAAGCATTACAACTTTTACTGACAAAGACTTCATGTTCAAAAGATTTAATGTGACTTCTGAATGACAAAGTTCTGAATTTTAACGTCATTTTCCATACATGTGAAATATCAATATTCAAATATTGTTTGCAAAACTAGACGGCAAACCATATGCTCATTTGATAGTTGTGATTAAACAAATGAGGCGTACATGATAAACAGAGCAGGAAACACTTTACCCCGTATTATGTTCAAATTCTGGCTACCATTTTTATGATTTTCCTAATTGGATTCAATACAATTCACAAAAAAATCACACTATGAATTTTTTTTGGTAAAACCTGTAAATAGTTTTATATTAATACATATACGCATTTCAACAAAAATAAACATGAGACTAAATTATTTTTAAAATTATATTTAACAATTATTTTTAACCATTTGTTTAAAAAATATATGAATATTATACACAGTATTGCAAATACTTTCTATTATAATTTAGATTTATTTTATTTTAAATGTTTTAATGTTTGTGTGTATCCGTGTCTGCCACATGCATGAAATGTAAATGTAAATCCCTCAGAGTGTAGATGAGAAATTAAAATAAAAAAACACTATTTCGGGTGTGTGCAGCCGCGGTTAACCATGAAATTGCAAACATCAAAATCGTCAGAGATTTTGTACACAATCCACAACACACCGAAGTGTCAAAACTTTGCATGCATCGTCCATGACCAGAAATGAGAAATATATATATATATTCCTAGGTTAACCAGTATTTCCATCAACTTGTGGGTCAATTATGTATAATGCATTATAAGGTTATTTTTAATGCATGTTGCAATGCATTATATCGTTTCATAAATAATTGAAACTATGCATTATATTCGCAGATTACATCTGGGTGTTTCAATGCATTAGGGTGTGTTCAATGAATAGATAAGAAATAATGTATTTTTACTGTGGTTGCAATTATTCATACAAGACCATTCAAGTCATTATAAGGCATATTGTAATTCATAATTTTATAATGCTTATGTATATAAGCCTCAGTTTTACTTTAAAAATCCCCAGATTTCAATGTAAACAGCAGTACAACGACACTTCTCAATGCACATCAACACTGGAGGTAAGGCACACACACACCGTGTGTATATACATGCAACCCACAGAAGCATCTGCCTTCACGTATGCAATGGTTCCATAACTGGTTCTTGGAGCTGAAGTTCCAGCCCATTGAACTGTAAAGCGAAGGAGGGTGTGTGTGTGTGTGTGTGTGTGTGTGTGTGTGTGTGTGTGTGTGTGTGTGTGTGTGTGTGTGTGTGTGTAAAGGTGCGGCTTATGGCCACTAATGAAGTAAATGCTTCTGTATAATCCTGAAATCTGTGTAGGAACACGTGCAAGATAACACACTAAAGCATATCTGAGCCATTTCAAAAGAGACACAATCCATCATCTTTACGCTGAAACCAAACAGCCACTCCTGTGAATGCACACACACACACACACACACACACACACACACACTAGTACTGCAGTAGTTTTCAGTGCACCAAAACTAAATGAGCAAAGTGCAGCACAAAGTGACGAGCAGTTTTACCATTAAATCAGTGTAAACAGTGTTTCTGCTGCGATTTCCACACTTTACATTTATGACAACAGGGTAAAGTCCATCACTGTGTTATATAACATCTGTGTCTCACTCTACTGTACGAGCTTTACACACCATAACGGCTCAAACCACACGGAAAATGAACAAAGAAAGTTTTAGGATGTAAACGTGTAAAACAAACAAACAAACAAACAAACAAACAAACAAACAAACGCAAAATGTAGAAATCTTGTAGGTAGGTGATCAAATGTAAGACGGATACGTTTTGCTTCCACTGAATTACAAGATACTTTTTTTAAGAACATGATCATCAAAGAGATTTACGCAATTACTATTTTACATTCGTGTTCATTTTTCAGTCCAACTGTTCATTGAAATTCTTATACTATAATACAGTTTGTAATGAAAAATTCATATTAAAATAGAAAACAGAAGCATTTTCGGTAGTCTCAGACTTTCGGACTGTATATGCAAACACACACACACACACACACACACACACACACACACACACACACACACACACACACACACACACACACACACACACACACACAGACAGACAGACAGGCAGACAGACAAACAACATACAGGAGACAAGCATGAACACACATCAATGACACACTAACACACACACACACACACACACACACACACACGTAATGACGACACAAACAACATAGGCCTACATGAGACAAACATGAACACACACATCACAATAATGACACACACAATCATAACTCTGAGTCCAAGTGACAAACTTTTCAATTTCCATTTTCAGTTTCTGTTTTTCATGTTTGTTCTCGTCCTCCACTTAATTACTTTACTTTCTATGCAAAAGCCCAGAGTGAGCAAGCGGACGTCAGATTCACTGCTAAAGCAGAATTAGACATTTACTGACCCCTCTTTCTTATTAATGTCGCAATTTGTGTTTGCATCATAAATGTCATACGGTTCTTTGCTTTCCTAAAATAACTGCAGGCCAGACATTGTGCGTCGACAGCTATTCGTGCCTGTCACAAGAATCTGACTTTACTTCTTCAATTAAACACTGCTTACACCAGCAAACATTTGATTTTCTTTTTTTTTATGGATATGTTCGTGTAGTTCAACATGTAGAAACTCAGCCTTCATTTACTGTACGTTGAGGAGCGAGAACACGTGTTCATCTTGGCAGATAACAAACCAGTTCATACTCATATTGTGCAATCTTAACCAATCAAATAAATACTCAGAAAACATCCTTTTCTTCTTCTTTTGCACACATGACATTAGTTTCACTCACTCAAACCCAATCTCAGTCTGCAGAGTACAGCTTTAGAGAAAACTAAAATCTAAATCTAAATATCAGTTTATTGTTTAAAATCCAATCTCTGCAGAGCTCAAATTATAATCAAGTATAAAATAATATATTGCATATTACTTTAGTCCCAGCAATATTTGGACATTCAAGAGAAAGATAAAACAAAACATCACATAAATATCAATAATAGTTTTTGTCAGAACTAACATTTTTCTTTAAATCTGCTGGTGTTTCTGTGATTTTTTAGTGGATGTATAAAGTCAGTTCTCATGTTCCAGCAAGCACAAATAAACACATATTAACACTATTGTTTTATCATTTTAACCTATCAACCGATGTTATTATTATTATTTAAAAAAATAAATCTAACACACAACGACTTTCACTGTTTTGAGGCCTCTATGATAATCAATATTTACTGTAAATTATTCACTATGAAAGTCAAATGCTTTCCACTAAAATAATCTGATTATTACCAGACAGACACATCAAATCTGGAAATGCTGATTAATTCTCGACAAATACAAGTGTTTAAATTATCTCATAAACACAAGTCACTAATGAAACCTATAAAACGAACCTCTCCTATTAAACACACACACACACACACACACACGCGCTTTCCAGTTAATTACCAGATCCTCAGAATTCATCTCAAATCCCATGTATAAAGTGATATTATAATGTCCCAGTTCCACTTACCCGAAGTGAAAGATGTTTTTCTAATATTGAAGCGTCTGTGCAGCATTAATGTGCAGTGAGTGGACGAGTGCAGATCTTCAGGATAATATTCACCTGCTGCTCACTAGAGCTGGTCTGAAGTGCACTGACCTGTAGGGGTCTGAAGGTGTTCACTGACTCTGCTCCTCCTGCTGCCTGTCGAGTGTGTGTGTGTGTGTGTGTGTGTGTCGCAGGAGTTTCCCTGCTGTCCGGGTTCGGGTCGGTGTGTTACAGACTCAGACACTCAGTCAGTGTGTGTGTGTGTGTGTGTGTGTGTGTGTGTGGAGAGAGAATATAAGGCTCAACGATAGACCTAATGGCGCTGTCTCAAAACACAGCGAGCTGCCTAACTAGACAGCATTTTGAGGGAATATATCCGTGCACGCTCTCTCTCTCTCTCTCTCTCTCTCTCTCTCTCTCTCTCTCTCTCTCTCTCTCTCTCTCTCTCTCTCTCTCTCTCTCTCTCTCTCTCTCTCTCTCTCACACACACACACGCACGCGCGCGCGCATGTGACCAACAATGTTGCGAGTCTATAGATTCCGTGCATTAAATCATTTAATACGCTGTACACTTATCGTGATCATTCTGTATTTTAAACGATTTAGATTAAATATTCTCAAAATGCTTCAAATTCAACAACTAAAATGACTCGATAATTTTTTGTTTGGAATAGATTACTGATTTGCCTTAAACACGTGGAAATGTCCACGCCGCCTGGTTAGGCAGCTCCGTGTGTGTTGCGACCCCGCCTCGGTTCCTCCTCCCACCGGGAACACCTCTGGAGCGCGTGGAGAAAGGCGGAAGAGCCGAAGAAATCAGCGCAGAATTATTATTTTCCAGAACTCCACCGGTTGTCCCCTCGAGTGATCACGAAAAATGCTTCAAGCACTAAAACTGGTAATTTTGGCATTTAGCCAAATTTCGTTCCCAATTTTATTGATGTAAAATAATAACAATGGCCTACCTTATGTTTCTAAAGAAAGTTTCATTTGATGTTATTAAGTGCATTAAGCTCGCAAAAAAGTTAACCTCAAATCATATTTTGCAACTGGATTCATTGAATAGATTCATTAGAGTAGTTTATCTCACTTTCCCTCTAAATCACTTTCTGCCTCGTGAAATCTACTGTAATCGCCATGACACAGCAATCAAATTATGTTACAGTTTATTGCATCATTGTTTCACATGATCATAAGTTTAGATAATGTGTAGCCTAATAAAGATGTGGAAACTGAAGGTCTGACAGGTTTGAGTCTCTATAGCATCATCAGTCATATGACCGAGTGAGGTGGTTATGAGTAAGCAATGAGTTGTGTGTCTATTTGTGTTTAATCAGCAAGATTATAATTACACACTATACCAACCTTACAGACATTCCGTTTGAAAATATTATTGAGATATAGTTTAGTTTAGTAGACACTTGTGTTTTTCTCTCTTGATTTAGGCCTACATCATTATCGGACCTGTGTAGCTCTCCAGTCTTCTGTCAGATTAGTGGGAATGATTTGAAATGATTAGTTTGCTGGATGGAATATGATAACATAAGCTGAACATTAACAGTTAGCAAAAATATTAGTCCCCTACTGCCACCTTCTGGAAACTCATATTCTCTAAGATTCATAAATAGGCTATGGAAGTAAAGTAATGGCAAATGTTTTTGAAACAAAAAAGCTTGTTGAATTGCACGAATAAAAAAATAAAAAAGCATTGCATCAACCAAAATTATTCAATTAAATTATTCTCTAAAATTCATAAATATGGCTTGCCTTCTCTCAGAAAGAAGAAAACCATGAATTTCTTTCCTTTTTTTTGAAAACCAAATGGGCAGGGTCTTTACACTTACATGTGTTTTCATTTCACTTGCTTAAAAAAATGTTTGTAAACCCGTTGCATTAAAATTATTAAGTGGTAACACTTTACAATAAAGTTCATAAGTTAACATGAACTAACATTGAGTAATACATTTGTTACTGTATTTATTCATCTTTGTTAATGTTAGTTAATAAAAATACAGCCGTTCATTGTTTGTTCATGTTAGGTCACAGTGCAGTAAATTGAGTTATGTGAACTTGACAATTCCACATTACTTAATTTTTTTGATTTAGCATGAAGTTTATTTACTTAATAATTTTAAGGCAACGGGTTTACTAATATTTTTTTAAGTTAAGTCAACTGATCACTTTTTACAGGGCCCTAAACATGTGAGGAAACAAACATAAACTGGCGAAAGGTTGCAAACACATGCGTAACAGTGTGAGTGGCCGCTCGATGCTGGAGCTGAATGCACATATAACGCACAGAATGCAAACGCGATGTCAGTGGAATGATGCGCCACATGTTTATTAACACTTTACAGAGAAAACAATCATCACCGGGTCATGCAAAGCATTATCACTGCGCACAAAGAAAACACAACATGAACTGTGACGCCGGAATAAACAGATATTCAACTTAAACTCCTGAGATGTTAAACGTACAGTACGATACAATATGCAGAGATACTATAAACATGGCACTCATGAATATCTTGACAGGTTGAGAAGTGATAAGCTAAAATATTCCACTGAAATCCCAGCAACCACTGCGTTGAAACCGAACAGTCCAAGCATTGATTGTTGTAGGAAACTTGAATAGGAAAGTGCTTTATAAAGATCCCGAGGTATTGTTGAACGGCAACACTTTACAATAAGGTTCATTAGTTAACATTAGTTAACTACATTAGTTAGCATGAACTAAGAATGCACATATACAGCATTCATTAATCTTTGTTAATGTTAATTTCACCATTTACTAATACTTTATTAAAATCTTGTTGACATTAGTTAATGCACTTTGAACATGAACAAACAATGAACAGCTGTATTTTTTAACTAACGTTAACAAAGAATAACAAATACTGTAACAAATGTATTGCTAATGGTTAGTTCATGTTTGTTAATACTAATGTTAACTAATGAACCTTATTATAAAGTGTTACCTGTTGAACTAATGTCTTACTGGCTAATGCTTACAACACACCAACTTGTTACACACACACACACACACTAGAGGGGATAAACAAGGGAAACTAGTCACAAATATTTGTCTCTGGGTAAAGAAAACACACTTTCACGATACAGCTAGAACATCGAGGGTTATAGACGACTTCGGCATTCTCCGGCCTCCTGTAACTGATCGCTTTAGATCCATCCCTCCTCATATACATCCCAGTGTTTCGACTCCAAAATGTAGACGCCAACACTGAACATCACGCTAACCTTCGTTAGTAACACTCGGATAATTACAGCAGAGTTGGGAGGAGGGGTTAAATGTACAAGCTACATGGAGTTAACCTCAGGCCAGGATGAGTTTCTGTCATCGAGTCCCTGGCCACCATTTTGTCAAGCATTGTGTTGTTAGTCAGAGAACAGGCTGGCGAAAGACTTTCGCAAGTTTCGGATGGTCTCCGCCTTAGTTTCGTCCTCGTTGCTGGAGCGGAAGGTGTCGCCAAAGGCGTTGAAGGCATTTGTCAAAGACTGGGATTTGCTGCAAAACAGCGGACAAAGCAGAAGCAAAATTAGATCATCTAACTTCAGGATTACGCCTTCATTTGGGCCTCGTCCACACTAATACGTTTCGTTTTGAAAACGCATCTTTTTCTCTCAGTTTTGTCTTCCGCACACACTGAGACGTGTTTTTATTAATGAAAACGAAGCTTTTTGAAAACGCTCTCCAAAGTGGATACATTTGAAAACGCAGTTTGGATAGTTAGTGTGGATTGTCTAAACAATGACGCAAGTTTAGTCATGTGACGCATATTGTACCAATAGATATTGATGTTTATAGCGGTATTGTGCCTGTTATCTGCTATTCACTTTCACACTGTTGCTGGAATATGTTCCTTCACACACTCTTCATATCACAGTCCTGCACAGATGACAGAATACACTCGCATCTGCTGTCCTGCGGCGAAACATGAGCAGTTTTAGCGTTTTACACCAAACATACACTCACCGGCCACTTTATTAGGTACCCCATGCTAGTAACGGGTTGGACCCCCTTTTGCCTTCAGAACTGCCTCAATTCTTCGTGGCATAGATTCAACAAGGTGCTGGAAGCATTCCTCAGGGAGTTTGGTCCATATTGACATGATGGCATCACACAGTTGCCGCAGATTTGTCGGCTGCACATCCATGATGCGAATCTCCCGTTCCACCACATCCCAAAGATGCTCTATTGGGTTGAGATCTGGTGACTGTGGAGGCCATTTTAGTACAGTGAACTCATTGTCATGTTCAAGAAACCAATTTGAAATGATTAGAGCTTTGTGACATGGTGGAAGTAGCCATCAGAGGATGGGTACATGGTGGCCATAAAGGGATGGACATGGTCAGAAACAATGCTCAGGTAGGCCGTGGCATTTAAACGATGCCCAATTGGCACTAAGGGGCCTAAAGTGTGCCAGGAAAACATCCCCCACACCATTACACCACCACCACCAGCCTGCACAGTGGTAACAAGGCATGATGGTTCCATGTTCTCATTCTGTTTACGCCAAATTCTGACTCTAACATCTGAATGTCTCAACAGAAATCGAGACTCATCAGACCAGGCAACATTTTTCCAGTCTTCAACTGTTCAATTTTGGTGAGCTCTTGCAAATTGTAGCCTCTTTTTCCTATTTGTAGTGGAGATGAGTGGTACCCGGTGGAGTCTTCTGCTGTTGTAGCCCATCCGCCTCAAGGTTGTGCGTGTTGTGGCTTCACAAATGCTTTGCTGCATACCTCGGTTGTAACGAGTGGTTATTTCAGTCACTGTTGCCCTTCTATCAGCTCAAACCAGTCTGGCCATTCTCCTCTGACCTCTGGCATCAACAAGGCATTTCCGCCCACAGAACTGCCGCTCACTGGATGTTTTTTCTTTTTCGGACCATTCTCTGTAAACCCTAGAGATGGTTGTGCGTGAAAATCCCAGTAGATTAGCAGTTTCTGAAATACTCAGACCAGCCCTTCTGGCACCAACAATCATGCCACGTTCAAAGTCACTCAAATCAACTTTCTTCCCCATACTGATGCTTGGTTTGAACTGCAGGAGATTGTCTTGACCATGTCTACATGCCTAAATGCACTGAGTTGCCGCCATGTGATTGGCTGCTTAGAAATTAAGTGTTAACGAGCAGTTGGACAGGTGTACCTAATAAAGTGGCCGGTGAGTGTATAATAGTGAGTGAGAGCGACCTGGATGATCAGTGGATGAGGAGATATTTTGCTAAATAAAATGATCCTGTCAGAAGAATTGAGCGATAACTTTAATATTGATTGTTCCGTCTGTATCATCTCAGTGAGCTTCTGTGAGGGTTTACGCATGCGCAGTAAAGGTGAATTTAGCGTTCTCACGAAACGCCAATTAACGAAATTCGCGAAACCGCTAGTGTGGACGGAGGTTTGTTTTAAACGAAAACGCCGTTTTCAAATGTGTCCGGATTAATGTAGACGTATCCCTAATTTCAGTGAACACGAGAGTAAGGTGTTGAAGGTAGAGGAGCTCGATCCCGCTCATGGAGATTTACTTTCCTGCAGAGGTTGCAACTCTGAACTGGACCAATCGCAGGATTGGGGTTCAATGCAAAGAAGGAGCGGTGGAACAGGGGGCTGTCCTCCAACTCGCATATTATGGGCCCTATTTCAACGATCTAAGCGCATGGTTTAAAGCGCACGGCGCAAGTGCACTTTGGGCGAGTCCGAATCCACTTTTGCTAGTTTAACGGCGGGAAAAATGGTCGGTGCTCCCGGCGCATGGTCTAAAATGGTTGTCCATATTCTCTTAATGAGTAATGGGTGTGTTTTGGGCGTAACGTGCAAAAAAAACAATCAGTCTCATCTCCCATTCCCTTTAAAAGCCAGTTGGGCTTGCGCCTTGGCGGATTCGCTATTTACATGGTGGAATTGGCAAGTAAATAAATAAAGAGGTATATTTAAATAAATAAATAAAGAGGCGAAATAAAGAAGTACCATATGGACACACTTTGCAGCAAATGATCTCCAAGCACTGAAGCAATAGTGGAAGGATTCTTACTTCAAGAGAGGATGGGTTGACTTCTGCTGGGCTTCAGGCTGATCCTCCACAGGAGGCTGGGATTGGGTGGGTTGTTCCGGGGGCGGAGTGGGAACAGGAGCAGGAGACTGGGAAGGAGTCGCTCTAACTGGGGCTGATGGTGCTTCAGATGGAGGTCGGACTTGCTCTCTGAGCACTGGTTTAGGCTGGAGCTGGGGTTTAGCTGGTGAAGGGGGTTTAATGGGAACCTTGGCTGGGGATTGCTCTTGATCTGGCTGGGTCTGACCAGGACTCGGATCTGCGGGTTTTGGGATGGCCTTGGTGGGAGGTGGGGTTTGGGGCTTCGGCTGGATCTGAGGCTTGGAGTTCCTCCGAACTGGGGGCACTGGTTTTGGGGGAAGGGGTTTGGGGGGTAGTGGTTTTGGGGGCAGTTCGGTTGGCTTCCCTGGACTGGGTTCTGGTGCTGCTTGAGCCTGGGGTTTGGGCTGCTGGGTGGTGGGGGGTAGAGTTGGGGCAGGGCCTGGTTTGGGCACTGGTTCCTGGGCAGGGACTGGCTCAGGTGTAGGCTCTTGACTCTTAGGCTGTGGTTCTTGGGGTTTCACTGCCCCCCCTAGGTTCAGTACAAAACAGAGTCATCATATTATACATTTTTGTAAACACTGAAGCTTGCAAAATGGTTTTAAATCCAGCACCAGAAACATTGCATGATTTATGATAAAGAATTAAGGCGCCCCCACGACTGGCCAAAGTAACCATACAAAGGATATTGCCCAAGGTAAGGAATAAGGATAGTCATGTCCACAAAGCAAAAGTAAATTGCTTTTAGTCCAAACAAGCAGAATGAAACAGACAGGGGTGTGTTTCCCATACAACGCTGTAACTCGCTGCTTCACTACTATAGTACGATGATGCATCGTTGAAGAAATCCTCTCGCTAGTCACGACTGTATCCCGAAACCATATCGTCGCAAATTGGTCGTTCAATCACATTGGTTAATGACGTCACGCAGGTGGTGGAGTAATAACTACTTTTAATTAATCTGTTTGAGATGGAATTAATGCGAGATGTTTTACTATAAATTCCGAACATGTCATCTGAGGAATATTTCAAATTTTTCTCAGTTATTTTGCTTTATTTCCAGATTCAATCATAGACTCTTTCTTACACACTAGAGCTCGTTCACACATGCGCACTCTTCAAACACAACGCTTTAAATCTCTTGACAAACTAAAAGACGTAAATGACATTTGTATGTATTCTAAATAAAAGATATAGATTGCACTGAATGTCAGCTTGCTTATTTTGCTCAAGATCAGGATTTATTGAGTCCACATGTCATGAAAACTGGAAACTCTGCTTCTAACCGCAGCTCGAGATCTAGATCTGTCAAACACACAACTCTGCGATGCTGTTTGCGAATGTTCATTGGCGAACGATGCTTTCGGGAAACACACCCCAGGACGGTTAGTTTGCAGGATTATAGGTGAGGATGTGAAGAGTAAAAACTGCAGGTTCACAACAACAGATCATGCACACAGAAGAGCCGAGACCCAGAGGAGGCATGCGCCGTCTTTAAAACAAAGACAGCTTTTCTTTTAGTTTTCACCCCTGGCCTTGATTGGGATGTTTTTTTTCCTTGTATTGTTTCAGATATACTTTATTGTGTGTTTTATTCACAATCTTGATACGTACCAAACATAAAGGACAACTGGGACACATGCAGGAACAGGGGAAATGTGGGAGATTATGTGTTCTCGCGTATGAGAGATAATGATAATGATCTAGTTGTGAGTGAGGTGTCTCTTGTTTGTTTAAAGAAATGCTTGATTATGTTTCCCGATATCTCACTATGAGTGAAAATACACTGGGCTTCACCCCTTTTGAAAGTTTCGTGTCTTTCGTAAAGGGTATTTCAATTTGAAATGAGGTTCAGTAACACAGCACAGTAAGTCTGGAAAATGGGAGCTTTATTACTTTGGACATGAGGGGGAAAGACTAGATCTATATAAGACACAAATCACAGTTATAACCCAAGTACTGGATTTAAAGAGGCAGTGACATCAGCAAAGCCTAATCAACCCAAGCTAGTGGATATTAAGTCACACACTACGGGACGCCACATCAGCACATAGAGATAGAGATCTGACATTATTTCCAGTATGCTTGATGAGTACATTCATTGATTTCATTAGTTATACTTTTCACACACAAAAATATTTCTTTGGTAATGCATGCAAATGATCTTAAGATAACAGTTCCCATGCAATATAAGGACACATTTTCAACTCTGAACACAGATACCTCTCACGTGTGTTATAGATACCATCTTGCATGTTGATAAAACAGTTAAAAACATCAATATACAGAACAGGCACTACACTGAAAACACCTCAGACGTCCCTCTTATACATATTCAGTCCAAGAACACCAAGCATTATGTTTTTAAAACTGGAAAAGCTCATTGTTGGTCAAATATTGCATTAATCAATGTCAAGACTAAATCTGTAGCACTATATTGGCTTATTTAATTGAACGTCTTTGCATAAAAAACACTGAATGGCTTAAAAGCGGTTCCTCGAAAATACCTCTAAGCAATACTATAAAACTGCAATGCCTTCATGACGCAGATCAGCGTTTAAACAGTCATAACAAAGATTATTGTAAGAGATCTGCAAAGAAAGCAAATTTGCTTTCTTATTCGGGGTGAATGTCATAAAACATGGCCAGGTCACATTTCACGACAACATCAAAAGAAAAGAAAATATATTTTGCAAAAAGAAAATGAAGCCACGTTAATTATTTTGCATTGTGATATTATTTTCATGACAAATTCTCTTTATGTTCATGCATCTAGAAAATTAACTTTAGAGTTTTTTTGGTATTTCCTATTATTCTCGTTGTCATTAGATTCTCATTACTCTAATGAAATAATTTCTTTAGTGCATTACAATGTAAAGTGTTTTACAATCTTTAAAATAATCAGAAATAACAAATATGCTGTAATGTATTTTTTTCTAATTACAATTAGGCCTAAACGTGAAAATAATGCACACAAATGCAATGCAAAAAAACTCAATGGTTTAAAAATAAGCTTTATTTTCATTATGCAAAATATAAGTTCTTATTTAATCTTGTGATTTTGCGGTGAAATATGAACATGTCAGGTTTCTTGTGATTGACTATTCCACTACAGTAGGTTATATATTGCTCATAATGATATATAACATAAGCTGACAGTCAAGAGTTCACGGAGGACGGACTCATTCTCATTCTATTCTGAAACATTCCTGATGATTCCTAAAATTGACGGGCCTCAGATTGGAATGTAATGGCTATTTAGATTTAGAGAAATCCTTCAAATGTCTTTGTTTCCTCGAGGTGATTATCTGTAACAGTTCATCAGGCTGAACGTACATTAACCTCGAGAAAAGCACATATTTCAAAAAAACACCTTTAGAAATCATGCTGGAAATACTGAAACCGCAAATCCTATTTTGTTAAAAACACACATTTAAGATGTGAACACGAAGACATCACTCATGCAAAACCACAAACACTACGTTTGAATAAAAAACATGACATGTATAACACACACACACACACACACACCTGAAAGCTAGACGATAAGGAACCACCCTTACTGAAATAAGTCTTTCACAGTACATATTGAGCACACGGACAGCACAGCACTGGACTTTAGGCACAGTTAGAACAGTTCTTGACCCCTGAAACCACACGACTAACAGTGACACACACACACACAGCCGTCAGAAGCGAACAACGACAGTGAACAGGACAGAGAAACGCCAGATTCTGAGGAGCACGAGCTCAAACTACGGCATCTGTCACTATCTGAACCTCAACACCGGGGAACTGAGCTCTCGTGTTACTGCGGTTTATCTGGGATTGCGGCAGTGCAAATCATTTTGCCTGGACTTGTTTTGGTCCGACAGCAACTCCATTACAGTCGAGAATGTACTGTAAACAACCTTGTGGAGGAGGACGCTGGCCGAGGGTCTTGTTGGGGTCAGTCAGGCTTTCTTTTAAGGCAGCGCTCTGTGAACACACACACACACACACACACACACACACACACACACACACACACACACACACACACACACACACACACAGAGAGAGAGAGAGAGAGAGAGAGAGAGAGAGAGAGAGAAACCTTCTTCAGTCTCACTGGACATTCAAGATTACATTTTAAGCGCATTTCTGGTGATTCCACACCAGGGGGCAACACTGGACACATTTACATTTACAACATATGGACACATTCACAACACTGGACACATACACAACACTAGACACATACACAACACTGGACACATACACAACACTGGACACATACACAACACTGGACACATTCACAACACTGGACATATTTAAAGAGACAGTCCACCTAAAAATTACAATTTGAATGTCATTCAAATCGGTCTGAGTTTCTTTCTTCTGTGGAACACAAATAGAAGATATCTTGAAAATGTCTCTGTGTGTTTTAATGTTGTCTATGTGTCTATATGGTGTTTTTAATATGCTTTAAGACAAACCGTGTAAATTCATAAGTCGACAGCATTGCTGAGTATTTTCTCCTTAAAGGCACAATATGTAAGATTTGTTTCGCCACAAGAGGGCGCAGTTTCCAACAATAACAAAGGCATAGGTTGATGACGCAGTGATGAGCTGAATGATGGGACTTGCTGTCAAGCTGATGGATCTAATAATGTTTATGGATGAGTGCAAACATTCATGTTTATTAACATTACAGTGGTATGAAGCAGGTCGCGATTGCTAATGAGACAGATATCACACGCGAGTCCCGCGGATATAAAGGAATAAGGACATTTAATTCTACCGAACTGCCCGCAAGTGCTGGATTACTCACACAGGTCAGTTTATTAGACGAATTAAACTTGTGAGGTAACGCAGCGCTGCTTCACTTGGTCTAACGTTACACTATCACACTAAACGGCATTTAAATGTGTGTTGAAAGTTATAATGTTATACTACGTGTTAGTGCGTTTGCTATACGAAAACTAGCAGTAAGCTAGATCAACATTAGAATAACATACTGACTATATTCTAACATTTCATCATGTTGAGATAACGTTATATAACATTGATTTGTTTTATGTACATTTGCACACCTGTCTAATAAAGTTGTCAAGTCGTGACTCGTGAAGCTCTGAAGAACATTTTTTTTCGGGACGGCCACTTATTTAAAATTGGAATTTCTCTGAAATAAAAAATCTTTGGAGACTTTTGGGATATTGTAAGTACACAAGTGCAGGAAATATATCACACTGTGCAAGTGATTTTTGGATATTTTATTACAAAATTCTTACATATTGTACCTTTAAAACTGCAGTGAACCAAAGACAGTCTCAAAAACACGGTTTGAAATCGCTGGTGTTTCTGACGTCACAAACTACCTTGTAACCAATCAGATCAACGCGTGATCGTCAACCAGTGGATCTGTGAGCTGACTGAGTGAGTGGAGGCGGAGCTCATTTGCATATTCATAGTACCGCGCATACTAAATGAGGCAAGGGTGTCGAGTTACACTGAAGATATTTTAAGGCATGAAGACATTTTTTTCCAAGGAAAAAAACTTAAAATTATAAACTACATTTAAGTTTAGAATTATTGATACAATTATTGACTACAGGGGAACTCTAATAGTTTGCTTTTGTTTTTATATTTTTTGTTTGCATGTTAATTTTTGTGTAATGTTTTTGTAATTTCATTATGTGCTTTTGTCATCTTATTAAACTTTTTAAATATTGCTATTTAGGTTTTAGCTTCAGTTTTAGTTTTAAAGTCAACTTAATAATTTTAGTGCTTGAATTTAAACTTTTTGCAGTTCATTGCCAAAGCAACATTTCTAATTTTCGTTTAGCTTCAGTTTTTCAACTAATATTTACGATATACACTTTATTTTATGTCAGGTTTATTTCAATATAACACATATGTTTTTAATACTTACATGCAATAACCCTGGTCTTTTAAAATCCGGTATATGCAAACACACATTGTTTTGCTCAATGTGCAGTTTGTTTATTGGAATATCATTTCTTGCACCAAACTGATCATTTCCATTGTATTAGTGTTATGAATCCTGAAATCCTCTCGATCACCACCAGAGGGCCTGAATATTAGTCTATTCCCTTCTAAAATATATTTCCCATGATCCCGTGCCAGGCTGATTCCCTGCACACCTGTTTCCTATTCCTGTGGTTATTACTAACACTGAACTAACACTGTTAACATTACTGAGCATTATTTGTCTTTCCATTTCTCTGGTTTATGATTGTTTGCTGCCTCTGCCCTCATGCACTGTTATTATATTTATTTAAGTAATCATCGCTTGTTTGCCTGATGGTGGTGTTAATGTTAATAAAGCTGCAGATGGATCTAAACCCCTCTGCATCATCTATAGGGTTTCTGATGGTTGGGGTTTGGTGACGTACGTGTGCAGGTTGTGCAGTGGTCGCAGGTGTGTGTGGAGAACGAGAGCTCGAGCGACTGGGTTCCTGGTTCATCTTGGCCAGAACGATGGCGGAGATCAGCTGACGGTCCTCAGGCTGGTGTTCACCAATGAGCTGCATCGAAGAGCCCACCACCTGCACACACACACACGACAGCATTAATTCATTAAGAGGAGCAGCGGTGGTTCCAAGACACAAAACAACAGTATTAAAGGGATAGTTCACCCATCATTTACTCTTCCTCATGTTGTTCCAAACCTGTTTGAGTTTCTTTCTTCTGCTGAACTTAAAGGAAGATATTTTGAAGAATATATACAGTATGAACATATAAAGAATATATGAACTATTTATTAAAAATAAAATAACTATACAAAGACAGTGAATAGGGTAAACTAATAGAAATCACCAGTTGATTGATTGCATTAAAAATTGCAACAACAAAAAAATCTATTACATGTTTTCTGAAATGTTGTTTAAATATGCAAATTAGGCATTATCAAGTTAATTAAAAACCAATTTACACACATTTCCAGAAGAGAAATCTGAACATTGGATAAAGCATTTATTTAAATTCTTGTGTAAAAAATGATTGCTGTGATTTTTATCACAACTTAAGATTCAACATTAGAATAACAAATAATGTGTTGTTTAAACTTAAAAAGGCGTGTGTTTGTGCTTGACTTGAAATATTATGTTTAACTTTAGTTTAGTTGGACAAATTTTAAGTTGTTTTAACTAAAAAGCTAATTTTTTTACAGTGCAGTTCTCTTTTTATCACTCAATAAATCAATAAATGTTATATAAATCAGGTGGATGATATATGAATTACCCATAAGAATAAAGACATGAATAAAACTGTGTAAAGCTGCTGAAGTGGAGATTTCACACATTCACACATTTCATGTCGTTTTCACACAATATGCAGTCAGTGAACACATTTCCACAATGCTTACATTTTCTTAACAGACAAGTTATACCTCCCAACAAAATTATGGATTGTTTTTGTAGTATTTGCGAATGTTAACACACACCATCCCACAATAGCAAAAACAATATTCCAAACCTTAGATACAGTATAAAAACCTCTGCTTTTGCAATGATATCAGTTCCAAAAACAATATATCTCAGCAAAATAATAAACAAACAATTGAATAATTGACACACAGCTGATTTATGTTGGGTAAATTGGGCCAACCCAAAATTACCCAATTTTTTTCTATTACATTGACACTTATACAGTAAAATTAGGACTTTGAGGAGTGATGTTTTTGGAAACAGAAACAGAAAAAGACAAACACTGTAATGTCTGGACGAGGAAGAGTAAGAACAAGGGGCCCAGGGAGAATAGCAGGAGCAGTGAGATGTGCAGTGATGCAGTGAGATATGCAGTGAGAGATGCAGTGAGAGGTGCAGTGAGAGGTGCAGAAGTGCAATATTTGATGAAAACATGTGGCCTAACCCTGAAGATCGCAGAGTTTAGACAGTAATTTTGTGCTTTTTTTGTAAGCAATACTGTAAAACTTTTTCTGTTCTTTCATACCGTGTTTCTACTGTACCTCCTGTTGTAAACAGTAAAGGGAAAAAAATGATTTGCTTTTTACTAGAATGCTTTTGAATGTGAACATTACTGTACATGTGGACATACAGTTCCCAACCAAGAAAGTTAGTGTAAAAAGGTTGGATTGCATGTTTTGCATGCAAATACCTGTAAAACTGAAACATCAAAGTCTATGTAGTTTTTTTAATGTCAACAATAGCCAGTATTTTGAAACCTGATGTACTTTGATTGACTGCATGTACCATGTGAAGTGAAAACAAGTGTTATTCTTTGTCCGAATAATTTCATTTTGAGTCAGATTTTCAGTGTTTTGGTAAAGTTAGTGTGTGCAGAGAAAGATGTGTTCTATTTTGAAATGAAGAGTTAGTATATATTTAACAAAATGTGTTTTTGAGAAGAAAATTAACCATTTGGCCAATTGTGTTTTGTAGGTGTGAGTCTGTGTTAAGAGTTTAGAAAAAGTATCTGAAGTATGGGTAAGCGCTTGTTACAACTCTTCTAATAAATCAAAGGAGTCATAACCTGTAATTTTCACTTTTCCACGAGAATCAATGTATGTTATGATTACCTAACGATTATACATTGGCCAGGAAGCCGATATTCAAAAGTGAAGCGTTTGTTTACCCCAGGGTTCGTAAACCAGCCCACGTGCACGCGCACTCAAATACGAGATTTTAATTTCTCCCCCGACTTGCCGTCAAGACGGGGCAGGATATACCATATATGGACACTGCAGACATATGCTGCAGGAAGCCCGCCCTGCCCCTCTCCCCCTCATCATATTCAGTCAAGAAAGATGCAGAAATGTAGTGCACACGTGAGTTGCTCTGTGGTTGACTGCCAGAATCAACATTCAAATGTGTTTTCTCTACCAAAAATGGACCAAACTACCAGGGACCAGTGGATGAAATTCATTTTTAATGACGCTGTTCCAACAACCCTATCAACTGGCTCAACGTTAGGTGTCTGCGCTAAACATTTTACACAGGAATCATCACGTTACATGTCTGTAGATGAAAAATATTGAATGTCTAAAAAACCACAACGTGAAACAAGGCAAAAACAACACATGCTAGCAAACGTTGATCTCTATAACCACTGTAAGCTGATAAAAAAAGTAGACTACATCTCCGTTAATGTAATCTACATTAAATAAAAGGTAAACTTATGTGGGAGAAAATAGCAACAAACGTTTTAGCTTGTTACTGATGTTAATGTATGTCTCAGTCAAAATGATTGTCTTTACCATTCAGACAGGGGCGTAGCAAGCTTTTTAAAAGTGCGGGGGATGGATGTGATCAGGGCCCTGATTAAGAATTCAAAGGGCACAATGTAATGTTGGCCCCTCCTTAGGCAGGACAAATGTAGTTTGTCCAAGGACATTTAAATTTGGCATTAACATTATGCTGGGGTAAAGTTCATAAATGATCGTTCTTTCTCATTGGATTTTGTAAAACTATGTTGTGTGGACCTCGGCCCCTCTAGGGGGGTTCGGGGGCATGCTCCCCCGAAAGAAAATTTTGTACATTTTAAGGTTAAATGCATCAATCTGGTGCACTCTGAGAGCTCAAAATTAAGAGCTTCAACTGGCTTCGACCCATGAACTGTGCACATTGAACAAAGAAAAAGCATTGACTTGTACCTAAAGAGGGTTCAAACTTAATTTTAGTTATGATATAGAGTCTCAGTCTACATTACATTATCACTGGTGTTTTAGAATGCCAAACATTTATTATAATAATATAATAATGATTTATATAATTATTCCTATGATGGAAAATCCATATAGCCTAAATGTATGCTACTGTAGAAATGAAAATGAATATTTCAAAGTAAATTTTATATTATGCTATAGAATAGGAAAATTACAATACTTTTGTCCTAATTTCTTCACTTGCAAGAAATAAACCCTTGAGTTTTATTTTGGAGAAAACACCAGATCACCATGCTGAATGATCGCGTGAGCAAAGTGCGCACTTTTCTTTAAATCACGCAGCACAAACAGAATGCCTACTTAAATAAAGTATTGTGCTGTTTAGTCTAAAAAACGAAATATAATACCAAAAACACTCGACATGTCAACAAAACATAAACATAACATCTTCCCAATCCCAAACACATATCAAGCTTATTTAAAAACCTCGCAAGCATAAACACTCATTCAAAGTACCTGGAAAAGGGAGATGTAAATAACCATAACCATAAGTTCCCGCCTCCTCAGCACGAGTGACTGAAAAATCACACCAAGAGAGGCGGGACTTAAGGCAGAACAGCCAATCATCAGCCGGTCACACTCAGAGCCGGTGTCATGTTTGAGAGGGAGGGGGAGAGGAGGACGAGCCGCAGCGAGCGCACACACAGAGCGGCCAGAGAAACGGAGGATCGACTGTAGTGAGGCGTTTGTGCAAAACTGCGGAAAAACTGCAGAAAAAGAGCGGGTGTTGAACCCTCTCACCGGGAAAAGTGTGGGTGTTAAAACACCCACATCCCCCACGGGTGCGACGCCCCTGCATTCAGAGACATGTAGACGTCCTTCCATTGACTCTATAACTTTCCTTATACAGCTCTGGTTCAGAGTCTGGCTCAAACATATATGGTTGAATTCGTAGGTCGCGGCCAGGTCGGGTTCATTCACAACTTGCGCCATGATGTCATTTTGGAATGATATGCTGAAGTTACCTGCGGTGTCAAGCCCCCTCCTTCCTGCCACCAATCAACGCGCCCCTCATTTGCATTATTAAAATGACCGTCCACGACAGCCAAAATATCGCATCAGATCTCGCGAGACAATAATGCATTCAGAAATAAGGGTCAGAGGAGCTCTGTGTTTACTTTTTTTCCACTTTTCTTTTTTTTAGAAGGGCCTGAAAGACTATAATAGAGCGTGGGTATCCAAGGTAATACTAGGTTATGACTCCTTTAAGTCTAACAGTTTACGGCTTTTGATGTGCTGTTAATGAGGATAGAAAACAGTTTCCATAGCAACATAGCCAAGTCATATCGCCAAGTCTCTCATGATGAAGCCAAGCATTTCCACCACAGAAATCAATGCTTTGACCATCATAGTTGATCATCTGACATGCAATTATTTTGACATTGACTTGTAGCCATAAGCAAATCTCTCTTCTATACTAAAGGAAGATTGATGTCTGTTTTCTTGTAGTCAATGATCTGATTCCAGAATCCTGTCAGGCGACACCGGGAAGACAATCGACCACATCGTTCCATCATGGAAATTCAAAATATTGTCTATTTAACCACATTAACCCTAAGGTTACTTCTAGTCAACAGAATGTGTTAAAGGGACCATCAAAATAAACAGAAATCCAAAACCGTTGCCGACTCAGTGTGATTTTCTGTTATATTTGTGGTAAAGATAAAGTAACATTTCTTTTATGCATGTAGAACAGAGGCAGAGTTTTATATTAATGACAATGATGATTGTTGACCATTTAAAAAATAAATAAACACGATAATAATAAAAGTAAAAAGTACATCCCACCATGGCAGGGGTAGGCAAGTTCGGTCCTAGAGAGCCGCTGTCCTGCAGAATCTAGTTCCAACCCTAATCAAACACACCTGAACAAGCTAATCAATGTCTTCAGGATTACTAAGGCTTAGACTTGTAGTCGAGACCGCCTAAACCGAGACCAAGACACTACCAAGACCAGATGGTATTGAGACCAAGACAAGACCAAGACCAAGACCAAGACAGACCAAGTCGAGACCAAGACCAAGTCGAGACTAAGACCGAGACCAAGTCGAGACCGGAGGGGAAAAAAACATTAGTGTTGAAGCTAAGCAATAACTTGTCAAATGTTGTTTTGCATTTGCCTGCCTATCTCTGCTGATTTCGAAGTCTCCAAATGAATCCATTCTGCAACTTTTAAATACATAATTATATTTTTAAAAACGAAATTATAGGCTTAAGTGCAGGATCCGAAAGTTGGTCGTTTTTGTCGCTATGGTTACACACACACACACACACACACACCGTTGGCGGTGCGCTCAAAGTCATCTGTCAGTTCAGTTGTGCAGTTACCTAAAATCAATTAAGGTAAAACCCATCATGTCACTGATATGTGTTTTACTAAATATTAATATATCAAAAACTGTACATGATATGTGTTTTTTAAATCAAGTGATCAAAGTGCTCGTTGCCGCTGCGATCAGTGGCGCGGATACAGTGTTTTCTCGCGTGGCTCGCGCGCACCGCACTGTCTTCACTCGGACGCGCGCTTCAATACGTTGCGGACATCGTCGTGGATATTGTAGTATTGTATTGCTCAATCCCCTGACCACTATGTCGGTCTGAGACAGCGAGACCTAGACAAGACCGAGAGGTCCGAGACCAAGACAAGACCGAGACCAAAGACCGTCAAGGCCGTGACAAGACCGAGACCACGTAAAAGTGGTCTCGAGACCGGTCTCGAGACCAAGACCGGTCTCGAGACATACATCACTACTAAGGCTATAGGCAGGAGAGGTTTTTTTCAGTGTTGGAGCCAAACTCTGCAGGACAGGGGCTCTCTAGGACCGAACTTGCCTACCCCTGCACCATGGGATGTAGAGCTTTTAGCTGTACTGCTCCGAGTCTTTGGAATACTTTACCTCAAGACATCCGGAATAGTTCTAGTCTTTCACTTTTTAAATCATGTCTTAAAACAATTTTTTTTATTTCTTTTAGATTAGCTTATATGATTGACATAGCCTTTGTGAACAATCGTCGGGGGTGAACAATCGAGCCCTCTGCTCGGGACAGAAGGTCCCTCCTGACGGGAAGCTCCAGTGGAGGCCCATCGAGGAAAGACACTAGATTGGGGAACCAAACTCTGCCCGGCCACCGCGGGGCTATGAGGAGCAGGTGTACATGGTCCCTGTGTACTCTCTCCAGAATTCCCGGGAGCAGAGCGATCGGGAGAAAGCATACAAACGTAACCTCGGCCACATCTGTACCATCGCGTCCAGTCCGAGAGGAGCTGGATGCGTGAGGGAGACCAGAGTGGACAGTGAGACGTCTCTCGAGACGCAAACAGATCCACTTGAGCCTGGCCAAACGCCCTCCATATCTGCTCCAACACCTCGGGGTGGAGCCTCCATTCCCCGGGCCTCGGCCCCTGTCTCAAAAGGATTATCTTCTCCAATATTCTGAGCCCCAGGGATGTAAGCCGCTCTGAGTGACAGCAGCTTCCCCTGATGATCTATATAGGTGACCACTGATGTGTTATCTGTGCGGAGCAGCACATGGTGGCCCCTGATGTCATGAGTTAGGTTCGACTCTCTCTCTCTCTCTCTCTCTCTCTCTCTCTCTCTCTCTCTCTCTCTCTCTCTCTCTCTCGCTCTTCCCACTCCATTCCTTCTCACCTGTTTGCTATCACAATTAGCGCGCTTTCTGATTGAGACCGTACCTGTTCCTTTTTGTGCTCGTCTTTCATGCTATTTAGTGCCTCCCTGTTTCTGGCTTCTTTGCCAGATTTCTGTTGTATGCTTCTAGCTAATGTTCAGATCTCTCGTCTGTTCTACACCTTTTCTAGAAGCCGTTTGCCTTGTCTTGTCTGGTCGGATCTGTTTTGTGGTGTTGGTCTCACCTGTTCTCTCTCCTGCTGCACGTGAGTTAACCGTCTAGACACTGTCTGTGGTGCTAAATGTATCGACTGGAGCTGATTCACTCATCGCTGCCTTCCCGCTGCGAGCACAAGACGTCTGCCAGTAACTGAAGACTTTCTCCTTTGTTTAATACCTATTTTGCTCCGGATCTGCATCACCTTTTTCCTGTGATCAGCAGTCTGCCTTAGTTTCTTTGTGACTCAATAAATATTACTGATCTGCACCTTTGCATTTGGGTCCTCTCTCCGTTTCGTGGCCCCTGAGGTCTGGGAGGAAATTCTTTCGGGCAAGAAATACGGCCAACATCTCTAGGCGGTTGATGTGCCAGGAGAGATGATGGTCCCCCCATAGACCCTGATTCGAGCGTCCTTCTAGGATCGGTCCCCAGCCCGTGAGAGAGGCATCTGTCGTTAGCGTCTTGCGACGACACGGGGGCCTGGGACAGGAACCAAGGTTTCTTCCACATTACCAGGGCATGTAGGCTTTGCCACGTAACCCTAATAATGCGAAAGGGGTTGCCCCTTGGGGAAAACCCTTTGGTCCTGAGCCTCCACTGCAAGGGTCTCATGTACAGCAGGCCAAAAGGTTTCACGTTGGACGCTGCTGCCATCAAACCCAACAGTCTCTGAAACTGTTTGACAGTGAATGACTGGCCTAGCTTTATTCTTTTCACATGATAGGTGTGCCCGCATCAACATAGAATCCCAAACCACACCTAGAAAAGGGGTCCTCTGTAGTGGAGAAAGCACTCTCTTCTTGGAGTTTAACCGTAACCTCAGCTCTCTCAGTCTGAAGTCGCCCCGAGCCTTGGGGAACACGAGCCTGAGCGTCCTCGCGGAAGAACGCCAGGCGGGATGGGAGCGTCCGCATGGGAAGCTCATCACAGTGCCCTCGAGTGCTGACCGTACATGCTCCTCACCCAAACAAACAACACACAGAACATGTGTGTGTGTCCATTAGTTAAATAGGCAGGGGTGCACACACAGTCTGAACTGCTGCTGCTTACTCGCCATATTTTCTGATATATACTGTATGTGACAAAACAACACCAAATAGACAATGACAGTACCACACAGAGCGCTTGTGAAGACACAGAAGCTAGTGCTGCTCTGTTTGGGCAGGCTTTAGTTTCCCGGTTCGTGACGTCACCAACCTCTGACGTTCAGCCTCACCATTGGACTGATTTCACATGTGCTTCAAGACATCATCACGCATATAATTAACGCTTATAATACTAATTAAACACTTCAGTCTGCCGTTGAACTGAGCGTTCCCTTAGCGTCAATCGACGCAGTGCGAGTTGCCTTGAAAGGGAACTGTCGCAATGTCTGACTCAGATTCCCAACAATAGATTTGTCATGGATTTATGTGGTTTTTTTTGGAAAACCTCACAAAACAAACACTCTCACTGTGGTAAAACGCCTCCTCATGTGATCCTTATAATACTAGTTAAACACTTCAGTCTGGCGTTGAACTGAAACTCTCAGCTCACATGCAGTGATCTCGAGGTCGATAAATGAACGCTCGCTCTCACCTCAGTGATATAATCCTTCCCGTCTTTCCCATGTATGGCTTTAACAGCACAGATGTCCAGACCTCCGAAGACATCGGCACAGGCGTCCACCCACAGCTTATATCTACAGGAGAGAAGATCACATATCTATCTATGATATCTACAGGAGAGAAGATCACATATCTATCTATAGAGAAGATCACATATCTATCTATTATATCTACAGGAGAGAAGATCACAAGCTCTCAGTTTCACAATTCAATTGTATCTCTATCCTCTTATGTGCAATTCCATCATAGAGGTTTAACTCGGAGCTCAAGCCTCCTCCAAGGACAGCAAGCCATGTTAGTTCACTATTGACCTTCAAGGTTGAATATGCAGGCGAACTAGTGAAATGTACATTCATGCATATGGCGGATGCTTTTATCCAAAGCGACTTGCATTGCATTCAAAATACAACATTTCTTTTTTACCAGCCTTTCAAACACATGCAAGCGCCACAACCGACTACACAATGGAACAAAACTCACTGTCCGTCTGTGAGTTATACTCCAAGATCTTTTGATTGCAAACCTGGTGGAGTCTGTGAAAGCCTGTCTGTGTGTGTGTGTGTGTGTGTGTGTGTGTGTGTGTGTGTGTGTGTGTGTGTGTGTGTGTGTGTGTGTGTGTGTGTGGTGTACTCACTTGTCAGTCATGGCCACTTGCTCCAGCATGGCAGAGCCAGTGTTTGACTTCCAGTTGCCAGAGATAGATGTTCTCCTGTGAATTATAATCATTAATCACGTCACATTCAGTGTGCGTTAGATCTAGCCAACCATTATCACAGCAACGACTAATGTATGACTTCAGAAGATTTTACACAACATGTACAGACTGTTATTATGACATTTTCATGATAATTTTGCATTCTTTTTGAAGCTTGAAGGCTCAAGACCAAAAAAGTAAATGATACATCTAGTCCTGGCAACTGTGATTCCAATGCCTGTCCCGAACTGTAATGGACAAACTTCACGAATAACCAGGTATGCTTGACCATTCTGTCCTTTTTAGGCTCACATCTCGTAACAATGTTTAGATGCCTTTGGTCGGTGTTCAGTTCATATTTCATTCGATCCACACCAGAGTTGAAGCGGATTGAGACCCAGAGCAATCGCACCAGAGTTTGTTTTGATGAAACCAATCCTTCCCATAGTCAACACACCCTAAACGCATCTGTAGTTGCCAACCTGGAGATCGTACTGTACATCCATGATTAAAAAGCTACAAAAACATGTAGATCAAATGAAGCAGTTTTCTCCTTCCGATTTTTGGTCTCGACAAGCTTGCCTATTCGGACAGTAATTGTTTCTCATGGGGTCGTACGGTATTTTCAACATTTACAGGGTTAATCGGTGATATTATTGCCGTCTGAATCCAGAATGTCAGTGTTTTTCTTCCTCCACCCGCGTACAAATCCCCGGCCGAATCTCCTACTGTTTTCTGACAAACACCAAGCTCTGAATCCACATTTCTGGGTTTACAAGAAGAGATCACTTCAAAACTCACTGTTTAAATCCTTTTTGATCTCTGACGAACACCGTACATACGATAACTGTCGCGCTTCACTGTAATCTGCATGCATTTTAAAGATGTACACTTTTATTACTGAAATGCTGGAAAGTATCGACAAGAACAATATTTCACCTCAGCGAACAAAAAGGAGAAAGAGAAAAAAGCACGTAAACATTTGAAATGGGCCGTTATTGTGACAGCGATATATATGATACAATTTTAAATGTATTTTTACAGACGTCCACATGAGAAACAATATCTGAACAGGGCGTACGATGGTCTACACACAGGAGCTGAATCCTGAGGGAAATTTTTTTAAGCATAGCTCCATCTGCATGAGTGTTAATATTCAAATGATTTACACCAACTAAATATCATTATGATCAGTCATTGCTCATTTGTATTCGTAAAGGTAGAACCAGGTTGTACACATAGTGTGTGTTGCTGGAAGGATCAGGAAAATCTGCACCAATGGTTCTCAGCCAGAGGGCCAAAAATAAAGGTTCTGGCTTTGATGGCCGGGTCAAGCTGGCCTGAGCATCAGTTCACGGACCGGGAGAATGTGATCGTGGACTTACATGTAGGCTTTGTAGTCCGAGCCGATCTTCTGGACCCTGATGTCATATTTGGCGTGGATGAAAGGCTCAGTGGTTGTGTATGTCTGAGTGATGGCCACGACACTTGCGATGTCCTGGAAGTCACTGTGATTGTCAACTTTCACCTGCCAGGGTTCAAATGTTATTAATGTCAAGTCAAGTCAGCTTTATTTATACAGTGCTTTTTACAACACAGAGAGTTTCAAAGCAGCTTTACAGAGATAATAGGAAAATAATGCAACAAAGTTTGTTTCCAGAAGAAAATAGCATCACAGTCCAGCTTCACTTACTGAAGTGAGGGTTCATTTTTGTTAAAAAAGTTATTAATTTAGTTAATTTATACATGTATATATATATATATATATATATATATATATATATATATATATATATATAGCCATTCTGGAGAAAACTGTGATGTCATCGTCCAACTATAATGTGATTACTGAAATGTTATTTTCATGTATTCTCTAATATCTGTATTTGATATCTGAATGCAGTGCTTGCTCATTTAGCCCGGCTTCCAGAGATGAAATATGGACTTGTTATGTGTTTGAGAAAGGTCTTCAACGTGTGAAACACACAGGGGTCATTAAAACCAATAGTTTAAAGGAACATTTCTTTGTTAAAGTCTTAATTTCCAGTCAGACTAAAGTGTAGCTCTCCTTGAGAGAAAGAACGCATTATCTTGATGTTTTGAGAGGACTCTCCTGTTTATAGTTAGAGCCTGGCCGAATCCAACCTTGGCAAAGCTGTGTGTCGGTGTGTGTGCGTTGGTGCGACCGGATTATGAGGACAAAAACCATGGATACATACCGACTCTATGAGGACATACCGTAACTACGAGGACAGCACTAGTGTCCTCATAAGTCGAGCAGTGTAGAAAGGCTTATCAGGCTGCGCCTAACCACCTCCCGCTTTTTCTCAATATGTCCTTATAAATCCGTTGTACCCGTTTTTCAGTGTGTGCCAGAGTATGCTCAGAGTGTATAATCTCCCTCTATGTGAAATTCGACGCTACTGCAGTATCATACACATTTCATACACCCAGACCACGCCCAAGCGCGATTCATTGGTGGAACGCTGGAATCCTCGTCAGTGATTGGCTGCTGGAATCCTCGTCAGTGATTGGCTGCATTTCACATCCGTCAAAGTCAGCGCGCCTGCGCCTCTGATCTTCTATCGCAGACGTGTGGTGTGACCGTGTGATTAATCAGAAGATTAATCATCATCATGAAAGATTAATTAGCAGAATTCGAGCGAAGTTGACGAGCTACAGTGGGAGATTTTCACTTTATCACGAGGAAGGTAAGTGCGTTTATTTATATATTCTACCTTTATGGAGTTAAGTGTCATGAGTCAGACAGTTTTTAATAACGTTAGTTACATTACTTTAAACGTGGCCACTAAACGTGCTAATATAAATCCATAAGCAGTTGGATACTACAGTATTAGTATTAGTTGATGAAAGATACATCTCCATGGATGCTTGAGAGAATTAATTTACATTTTGAAATAAATCAAATCTATGTTGTCATCGTGATGACTGGTAAAGTTGAGTGGATGAATTTACAGTTTAATACAGTAAGATACAGAAATATATTAAATAAACAGAAACGAGACTAATGTAAAAGTATACTTTCATTAATGTAACGTTACTGTCATTAGAATGACTTGCCAAAATTATCTGGTTGATTCATTTTAGGGCTGGATATTAGCAGACATTTTATGATTCCATTCAATTTTAATTCACGTGCTTTCGATTCTATTTCCAATTCGATTTTACATTTATTATTTTAATGTAAATCAGGTGTAATACATGTAACATTTTCTAAAACTTTCTCTCTATAGTTAATTTTTCTAAGTAACGAGTTTAGCTTCATTTGATCTGAGGCGCCACATTAAAGAGTGATAAAATGGTATTAAAATGGACTGAATTTGAAATCGGAGACTGTTTCTTATCAAAAGTAACAAGCCTCAAAACCTCACTGATCAACTATTTCTGTGTAAAATGTTGTATTTATTGATATAGACTACAGTCTGACAATAATGTACTGTATATAAAGCATATCTATCTATCTATCTATCTATCTATCTATCTGTCTATATATATATATATATAGGCCTATATATTTATATATTTATAAATACATACTAATTATGTTGTCTGGAATGTTTTCAGTCAACATGTTAAGAAAGAAGAGAATAAAACCTGAGCAGGATGCAAAAGAACACATATTGTCGGGCAAAGACAAAGCCTTCATTGAGGGACGACAAATCAACACCACAAGGCAATTTGACTATGTTCAGACTGCAGGCAAATCAAATCATAAAGTAGGCATGCACTTGTAAGAATGAAAAGTAGGCCTATTGCTGGCAGTCTGGACATGATCTTTCACATTCACACATTTTACCCTTGGGTAAGCCGCTCATTTTCATAAAGGTTAAGAGATGAAAAAAAAAACTTTAAACAATTTTTTTATAATTATTATTTTAAAATAAATACATAAAACTATGTATACAGAGAATAGTGTAACCAAAATCAACTAGTAGGCTATATCACAGTGAAAGCCAATGCTTGATTATTTTTTTTATTTCCTGCACCTCATATTACATTACACAGTTTTACAGGATTTAACTCTTTAAAAGGATAGGTTGGTTAGCTGTGTAACATATAGGTGCACTTGGATTCATGTTTTATTTGTATTATTAGCCTATATATTATTTTGCCCTTTCAGGGAGAGGTGTGTTTGCACTTGAGCACATTGAACCATCCACCTTTGTTGTTGAATACCGTGGGATTCTCTCTCAAAGTAAACATGTTAAAGATGTTCAAGGCAACTACTTGTTTGACTTCACATGGAATGGAACACGTTATTGGTAAGCTGGCTGTTTCTTTTTTGGTTTATTTATTTTTGGTTCATATTCAGAGCAAACTAGTTGCATGTCATTCTAATAAAAACAGTTATAATTATGATTTATTATTATTACTATTATTATTACAATATAGGGCTGCACGATTTGGGGAAAATGTCATTCTGATTATTGAGGTCAATATTGCAATTGGAATATGCGATTGCGATATAATAAACAAATGGTTTCATGAGTCAACTTGCTTGGTTCTAAAGCAAAATGCACACACAGATTAGTGATAATTCTGAAATGTGTATTTCTCAACTCAAACTAGCAACAACAACTAAATGATTGATAACATCTAAGCCATTGATGTCTGGATAAAAATTAATCCACCCCCATTTAAAACATTAATTATAGCCATCCAACATTACAGTGATTCCATCATTACAATTGAAAGCTATAATTTTTTTAAAAACATTTATTAGACGTCAAAAAATATAACAGCTTTTAATTTAAGTGAACTTCAAATAATCCTCACATAAACCCATTATAAATGACATGTCATATTTACCTGTGCCCTTCCTGTCTAACAGGTATGCAGAAATTTAATAAAGTTATCAAACAGTCTGCGACTCTGCGCTGCATAAATAATAAATAGACTAATCCTTATTAAAGCTACATAAGTTCTTTAGTCAAGAGCAGTGAGTAATTTTCTCTGTCCCCTTTGTTCTGTGATTAACTTTACTGACAGAAAGCTTTGGCTGCTGGCCCTTTAAGAGCAGCCGCTGCTGACAGAGACACGGATCTCACATGCGCCTCATCCTCTCACAACTCTATACGTCCATCATAAGACTGCTCTTATGTTATGAAGATACTCGACAAACGACATTTTGGCATAATTGTGTGTGTTGTTGTTCGTTCAAGCGCGAAAGAGAACTGTATTCTGGCGCGTGTCTTTCTGTGAGTCACAGTCGGACATTCAGCGCGCTCTCTTTTGACTTGTCTCGCATGAATGGTTTTAAGCAATCGCATGAGAGCATTATCATGTAACACTAGCCAAAGGATGACAAATAATAACAGATGCTGCGTTAATTGCGTTAACAGCCCATTGTTTATTTTACATAAAATCGCAGCATTTTGCGCCATATAATCGCACAGGCTTGACATCGCGATTGCGATTGCGATAAGATTAATCGTGCCGCACTATTACAATAGCAGATTTGCTAGGGTTCTCATAACATTAGGAACTTATTAGTTAGTGATAATCAATAACATGGTTATTGTTCAACTGGGGTATTATTTTTTTACCTTAAGTGGATCATCTGACTTATTAAATTCTTAGGAAGTCAAGTTAACTTTCACAATGTGTATTTGAATATAGGTTAAATAGGCCAAGGTTAGCCTAACCCAAATGTTCAGTTAGAACCGTATGTTTCAGTGTGTGTCTATGTTTTAAGTTTCTTACTGCACTATTTTTATCACAGCATAGATGCAACAAAAGAGGACGGTGGAGGAATGATGATGACAAAAATCCAAATTGCAAAGTCAAGACAATCATTGTTGACGGAAGGCCACTCCTGTGTCTGTTTAGTATAAGACATATCTTTCCAGATGAGGAGGTCACATACAACTATGGGGATTCCTCTTGGCCTTCGCGTTTAAGGGTGAGTCTCTTAAAGACTTTATCACTGAAAGTCAACCATGTTCTGTATTTCATGAATGTTAGTTTTTTATATGATGCAGATTATTAAAAAAAATTCTGCACGTCTGCTTTGTGCATGACGGAGCCATGAAAGGGACACTAGATATTTAGTCTTTGGTTGATACTAGAATTAGTTGCGGTGACCGATTGGCAAGCATCCTTGCCTCAGTGTTGTACCTGTCTTTCTCATAATTACAGGAATTGTGTGACGAGACATCAGTGGCTGTGACTGAATGCAGTGTGAATCCTTCCTCATCAGTGAAAGAGAAAGTAAGTGAGCGCATGTTCCTTCATTGTTTTCTTCTCTTTGACACAGGCAATGTTAAGTGTAGGATGGTTGGGCATCATGCTAGACTGGTTGACGTGGACTGTCGTCTTAAAGACGCTGTTGTGACGTCTCAAATTCGAGTAAAATGTACATTGCTCGGTTCATTCATTTTCATAACTCGTGCGTTGGGGGATGGGCATGACACTGACCTGAAATATAAGGACAGTTCTCCACTACGAGGACCATCATGTCAGGGTTAGGGTTTGTGGAAAAGATGTTGCTTTGGGTACAGTTGGTAC